CCAATTCATCGTCATCATCATCCAAATCATCATCATCCAAATCATCATCGTCGTCATCATCATCGATATCCAAATAATAATATTCATCATCAACTTATTCATAATCATTCAGATCATCATCATCCAAATAATCATCATCATCGTCATCGTTCAAAACATCATCATCATTCGAATCATCATCATAATCCAAATCATAATCATCAGCCGAATCATCATCGTCATCCAAATCATAATGATCCAAATCATCATGATCCAAATCATCATCATCTTCATCATCGTCATCATCCAAATCATCATCATCATCATCATCCAAATCATCATCATCATCATCAAAATCATCATCACCGTCATCAAAATCATCAACTAAATATTCATCATCAACAACGTCATTATCCGAATCATCATCATTACCATCATCCTCAACATCATCATTATCATCGTCATTCAAATTACCATCACCATCCATATCGTCATCATCGTCATCAACATCATAATCCGTAGCAACATCATCGTCACCATCAAAATCATAATCACAATCATCCAAATCAACGTCATCAACATAATCATCGAAATCATTATCATCATCATCCGAATCATCAGCATCCGAATCATCATCATTATCATCACCATCATCATTATCATCATACGAATCATCATCATTATCATCACCATCATCATCATTATCATCATACGAATCTTCTTCATAATCATTAATTTCCTCATTATCATCTATATCATCTTCATCCAATTCATTATTAACATCATCCAAACCATCATCAACATCAAAATCATCATCATCTTTACCATTACATCATCATTATGATCGTCATCATCAACATTCACTTTATCATCATCCAAAATAACATCATCATGCGAATCATCATCGGAATCATTATCATCATCATTATCATCATCATCCAAATCATCATCAAAGTCATCATCGTCATTATTCAAATAATAATTTTCTTCATCATCATAAACATGATCATCATGATCATCATCATTATGATCATCGTCATCATAATAATCATCATCATCATTCCAATCCCCGTCATCAACATCATCATCATCATCATTCCAATCACCTTC